ATGAAATTTTTAACAGACTAAAGACACACCCTACCTCGTTGAAATATTGGTTCAAAAGAAAGAAATGGCACCAAGCCCATTAAAATGGCTGAGAAAGCCACTAGGGGGACATTCTGAGCTTCCGATTAGTTATTCATGTCATATATAGAAGTAAGTGTATATAAGGAAGCATTTCCAAAAATGGAAAGAGGTGGGTGTGTTTGATTTATTACATGAGCAATAGCTTAGCAAATTGAAAAGATAAGAGGCTCCTATATTCTAGTTTGTCATTATCAGTAATTTTAATTTTTAATTATTCAAAACTATAGACTTAGTATTTTGACTTCACAAACATCTAATTTGAACCAGTGCTGCATTCAACATACCACGTGACACATAAAAATCAATGTTTATCTGTTTTTTTAATATTTACTTTTAAATTAAGAAATTGAGTAATGTATAGTACTAAAATTTTAATTATAATCTACAGTTTGATACCAAACTTATTGGCTTAAATTCATAAAATAGTAGTTCAATACAATTTTGAATGAGAGTCAACAAACGAGATGACATGGCCTTTCACCCATGACCCGTCTCGAAAGGGTTAACTGCTAAAATAGGCTGCTGTAGTCAGTTTCTGACTAACTAGAAATGGAAACTATACATAATTACAAACAAGAATCTTAAATTTGAATCTCCTACCTTTATGTGCTGAGATATTAATAAATTTGTCAAACCCACCCTCCCTTCTCTCTCTCTGACTTTTGAGATAGTTTGCCAGTCAACATTACATAGCTGGTTTACATGTTTATAACTATTATAATAGTTTTGGGATATTCTTTTCTAGGACCTTATATATTTTCAAAATGCCTATTTGAAAGCTACATGAAATTGAATTTTTTGAACACTCAAATTTGTGTGACTCAACAAGGGTTAGTGGAGAACGTCTGATATTATTCCTTGAGTGCAAACAGCTTGAGTATGTAGTGATTACTAGAAATCTTTGGTTTTATATATATTTATTATATATTTTAACTGAAATGTAAAATTATAAACATCTCGGCTAGCTTAACAAGATTTCAGTAAAACAAAATATCCAAAGATACACTAGCTCGAGCTTCAGTGTGAAATGTGAGATTAGATCATGTGTTATTCATATTAGCTCTATGTGACATGGCTGTTGAGCTTCTGATGTGATTTACTGCTTTTGATGTTCCAGTGGTATGAAATTAAAAATTACAAAACAGATTAATAGTTGAAAGTGTTAAGTAATTCAGAACTTTTTGTTCAATACCACAGTCAGTGTAAAGGAATAAAAAAGGGTGTTATTTATTTCATTTAATGTCATTCAACTTTTTATATCACTGAACTTTGATGATTTCTCTACAGTTAGAGGTATGGTAGAGAAAATGTAGGTTTATCAAAAATATCTTTTGATGCTCACTTAAGAGGTTCTAGAGGTTATGAAAACTGCAAGATGAAAAAAAAACTAAATTTATTATGGTGCTGTTTGAAACTCAGAGGAAAAATTATTTTCTGTTAGTAAAAGTTTAATATAGTTGTTAATACCCCCCACAACACTACTATTTAGTATTATTTTTGATCACGTGTACTTTTGTACATTGGTATACTTAAAAGAAATGTGCATATATATTGTATCATGCAACATATTAATATCGTACTTCTATCATATCCAAACTGTTTCCTAGGGCCAGAGTATGGAGAAAAAAAAAGTTAAATAGGCTATTGTTTAGTGGTTAGGCTTAAATGCCACTGTAAAGTGATTATTTTTGATAATTGTTTATGCTTTTTCATATATTTGATTCATTATTTGTTAAAGAAATTCATAGTAGCATTTGACAGAGAACATATTTAACCTTATAATGAATCTCTTATTACACACTAACAATAATCTAAGCGTTAATATTAGAATCCTTAAAAAAAAAAGAGTATTTCTGAGAACTTTCACAGAAATACTCTCACAGTTTAAAAATGTTGGTAGTGGACAGATGACACAACTGAACTACAAAGTGGACAGATGACACAACTGAACTACAAAGTGGACAGATGACACAACTGAACTACAAACGTACGACTTAGCAATATTACTTTATGCAAGAAGATCAGAAACCAGAAGAAAAAAAAACCTAACTTCATAAATTATCATAAAATTTACTCAATAATACAAGACTTTCAAACTATGATTAATTATAATTCATAAGACTTGTAAGCTGTAATTAGTTTCAAGCAGTATCTAATCTAAAACCTATATTTTTGAGCATCTGGCTTATGCAGTCTTCAGTTCTATTTTATTTTTGTATACATACTTTTATTGTTACCAGACAAGATTAAAACTGCACAAGATGATTACTTACTATTGATAAAATGTTTAATCAGTTTTGTTTACATAGGGTACATGCATGCCAAGATAGGTCAAAAGCTGAAGACATGAATGATAAACACACGTATACACAGACAGGGGCCCGAAGTGGGAGTGATGGTGGATTATATCCAAACACCAGTTCCTTTAAAGATACCTTAGGTGTTTGGTAGAGATAAATAGAATGGAATGGGAAACACACAGGGGCCCCTTGGAGGTGACATGAGGAGTTAAGATAGAATTTATCTCCCCACCCCGTGATACTCTCGGGGGAGGGGGGGTGCATGCCAAATTTGGCTGAGATCAGTCAAAAGGTGTAGGTGTGAAAAGCAGACAGTCAGGTAACATTTCTGTATTATATATTTAAGTGACAACTAAATAATTTATGTGACTATAGCTACCATGAAAAAGATCTCATTGCCACCCAGTGTCATTCATTTGTCTCAGAGTGAGAGTTGTGTTGCAATTAATACAATTAACTATGAGTATGAGTTGGAATTGTGGATAAAATTAAGAGATGGCTCAGCTAAAATGACAGAGAAATCTGAACATAATAATAAATAACACCACAGAAATGCAAAGCTGTGCGACACTTTTATTTTTTATTTTTTTTATCCAAATAATATATTTCTTTCTTTTAAGGAAAAGACGAGGGGCTATCAACTCCAAACAGCTCACATATTTGAAGAAGTACCGTCCGAAATATTCCCTCAAAACCAAGAATAACCATAAGCAATGCAACATACAGTAAAGAGTATTTTTTTATCTAATTTTACTGAATACTAGAGACTAGATTGCTTAAAAAAATACAAAATTAAACAAAAAAATTAGAATCTCAAGCTTCCATCATGAGACCTTGTGTTTTGTGTTTGCTAATGCCACTTTTTCTTATCTTTAGGATAAGATTAAGAAGTGTTGTTTCATAGATTTATTCATTTAGTTGAAAATTTTAGCATTTAGTGATTCAGATTGTTTATATGTTTGTGTATGTGCTTTTTTTTTTAGTTTATTTAGTTTTTTCATTTTGTTTTTTGTCCCTGCCAAGATAGAATTTTAGTGTGACAGTACTTTTTTCTGGTGGTTAATTGAAGATCAGGGTTACCTGTGTTAAAGAACATATCTTAGTTTTTAAGATTTGGACATGAGATTAATAAAAGTTTTAATAAAATCTTTAACAAATGTAAATTACCATGACCTTACTGCTTACATTACTTTTCGTTATCCCTATTATGGGATGTGTGTTCCCAGAGGGTATTGAGTCTTGTGTATATATATACATATTTTTGCCCAATTTCAATTGAAGGGATAAATCTTTAGTTTTGTAATGAATGAAATCTTATCATTTGTTTTGAAATTATAAATCTTTAATGAAACAATTTTTATTACAAATGAAAATTCTAAAACTGAAGTCGTTATTTCCATACCTAATATAAGATAAAGAACACAGAATAACACTAGTAATTCAAATTCTAGAGAAGAAAGAGTTAGTTATGTGTTTATGGATGTAAAACTATTGGTAACCAAGTGTAATTCCACAAAAATGTCACAAGGTTCTGCTAGTTATGAATTCTAGATTAGTGTTTGGAAAGGCTCCTGTCCATTCATAAGATACATTTACTTTGTAAACTGTTTAAAATGAAAATTGAAATTTCTTAAATATATATTTAAATTTTTGTGATTACTTAAAGAAATTGTAGTCTTTTTTTTTTAAAAACAAAAATAACTATTGTAGTGTGTTGTGCTTGTAATATGCTCAAATGTTTAGTATAAAATTACTTCATATGACTGAAACATCAAGTATTCTGCAATATGAATGAGAAATAGACCATGGACCTGTAAACTGTAAATTCTTTAAGACGAAGGTAAGTTTGTGAATGTTTTATGAACACCAGATGAATTTTGAATGGAATATTTTAACAAAGTTTGACTATTCTGTGGTAGTAATACTCATTTTCAGCATATCTGTCAATCTGAAGTTGTCACATTTGTTAGTTGTATAGTTCAAGAATAAAGACCATAATCATTTAGAACCTGACACTGAAAATGAAACTTGAATTTGTGAACAAAAATGTCTATTTTAGTGTGTAGCGTGTATAGATGTATAATGTACTCAGATTTTAGCATAAAATTACTTTAGGTGACAGAAACATCTAGTGATGTGTAATTTGTTTGAAAATCAGAACATGGGCCTGTAAACTGTAAATTATTTAATGGGAAGGTAAGTTTGTGAACTTTATAACCGCAGGTGAAAATCGAATGAAACATTTCAATGTATAGGTTGTTTAGTCTGTAGTAGTAATACTTATTTTCTGAATTTCTGTCAAACTGAAATTGTATTGCCATCATTAGTTGTATAGTTCAAAAATAAAACTTAATTATTTAGAACCTGGCACTGAAAAGGAAATCTGAATTTGTGAAAGAGTGTTTGTTTCAGTTAAATTTAGCTTATTTTCCTTTTCCATTTAATAATGGAAGTGACACACTTTGTTGTAGAAAGATGTGTATTGCCTAACATAAAAAATAAAATTTGAATTTTGGTTGAATTTTTTTTTAAACTTCACTCATCCATTGCTAACTGATGATTGTACTGAACGCTAGTTGAATACCACAAGTTTCTATGAAGACAGATTGTAGTGTAGTTTAACGTGAAAAATGCTCAAAATTTCGTATGCATATAAAACAAAATGGTAGTTTTGTAGAGAAAATAAAAAAGGATAAGAAGAACCAAAACTACTGCAGTCGTCTCTGTTTACATAGTGTGCTTACTTTGCATAAAATATGGATATTTATTGCTTTTCTTGAAAAGTAAGAATGGCAGATGTTTTGTTTTATCCTGAACATCAAGCACCTCTAGAACAGGTCTGTAACATTTCATACACCAGCTGTATTCTATTTTTGATTCTAAAGTCAACTAATTCACCTATTTCAAACTGAACAAAATGTGATGTGGGGAATTAGGAGCTAAGCTGAATATGCATTCAGTTTCCAGCACATGAATAAAATGATAAAATGCCAAGTAGCTTTATTTTAAGAAAAAATTACCTACTGTTAGAGCTGAAGCAGAATTTTTTTTATTGCTCAGTCATTTTTGGATGGAGATAAAATTGAATATTTAAGGTCTTCACTGTGATAGTAAGTTTCTGAAACTGTTGTCATCCCAAACTTGCAGTCGTCATTATCTTGTATCAAGATTTATATGTGAAATGTTTCTTTGTTTCACATTTATACTAAAGTTTTATCCATCCACGAGTTTCACAAACAATAATAATTTTGTGTATTTCATCTCATCATAACTATAAATACAGTACCAATCTATCATATTTCAGTCTTTAGAATAATGATTAAAATAACGGGAAGTTTTTTTAAGTATGTTGTGGTAGAATCACAAATGTTTACAAATACTCTTATAATATAAAAAAAAACAATTAGCTTTGCAAACATAAATATCATTAAATAATTAACACGTAAGGTAATATTTCAACTTTAAACAGGTTTTTGAACCGTAGGACTTTCAGACATTTTTGTCAATCTCGCAGTTTGGGACGCTCCAAAATCATTTATTCATAAAAACTTGTGTTCTTGACTCTAATAATCTAAAACGTAATTATAGTATTTAAATTCATTAATAACATCGATATTAATCTGAAATTAAAATTGTTCTCAAGTAACTGCCGCAGTAAAATATTCAAATTTCAGAAGAATGTTAAATTTTATTAGACATTAGTTGTTGTGATACAGTATTTAAACAAAAACGTGTACCGTAGCGTTTTAGTATCTAACATTATAATTGTATGGGGTTTTGTATGAATCCATCAACATATAAACACATTTCTATAAACTATTTAACCTTCAAATTGCTTGTTGGTCCGTGATCTTATTAGTCTATTAATATACGAATCAAGAACAATAAAATATAAATGACGTTAATATTACAGTTAATTCCACTGATTATTGAAGGGGCTTCTTTCTGTATGTTTTTGTTTTCTTAGTGCTGTAACAGGCAATGCGAAATTATTCAGTATGATGCAATATATGGACCTCACCGGTAGTAAATGCGATATATATATATATACAAGTCGATAATTTGATGGTTAATGTACACATGTTATGTGTTTCGTTTTTAAAGCTGTAGTAATAGGTTAACCTAAATCGTGACACAAATCACATTTGTCAATAATAATCATAACAGTATTTAATTTGAAATATAATGTTTTACTAGTTGCGGGAGTTTTAAGGTTATGTGATGAGCACGTAGCTAAGTGACTAGAATTTTTTTAAAGAATTTAATAAATGATTTAAACAATATAAAAATGCCAGATAGACTAGAGCATTAGTAGTAATATAGTGAGTCTGCTGCTATAGAATAGTGTCTAAACAATTGCCTAATGCCATTTTGCCACACTTGTCGTTAAGAGTTTGTTATTAAGCACAAAGCTACACCAAAGGCTATTTGTGCACTTCTCACCACGGGTATCGAAACTCGGTTTCTAGCTGTATAAGTGTACACATACAGCTGTGCCATTGGGGGGGGGGGTGTTTAAAGGTTACTCGCAGTTACTGTCACAAGAATACAATCGTAGCGAGGTGTATCAGTTTGGTGTAGGTTTAGTTACTGTTACAAGAATACAATCATAGCGAAGAATAACTGAACCTACACTAAACTGATACACCTTGCTATGATTGTATTCTTGTAACAGTAACTACACCTACAACAAACTGATACACCTCGCAATGATTGTATTCTTGAAACAGTAACTACACTAAACTGACACACCTCGCTATGATTGTATTCTTGTAACAGTAGCTAAACCTACACCAAACTGATACACCTCGCTATGATTGTATTCTTGTAACAGTAACGAAACCTACAACAAACTGATACAGTCGTGATATAAAAGACTTTATTGTAGGTACTATTAATTGATTTATTTTGTGAGTTGATATTTTGATTTTTAGTTGTTTTTTTTAAATAAAAGAGTTAAAAGCAGACGATTGTTGGAAGCTGTGTTTATAATTCATTGATGTTGCATGCAGTACATTTACGTCGATGATATACAGATATTTAGAAGGCGGTCAGACAATTAAGTGAGAAACATATAAATAGTGTGAGACAAGCGGAAACAGCAGACAGACAGAGCAAACGTGAGACCAGAGAACGGGAAGTAGAAGTGCGGCCAAAGAAATCGTTTAAAAACGAAAGTTAACAGTCGTAGGAGTGGATAGGCTAACGGTTGATATGTTAAAGTCAGATTAACAGTTTTCTGACACTTTAGGAGAATAATTTGTATTATCAAAGGGTGTTCTAAAGCAATTGATCCTGCCTGTGTAGACCTTGACAAAAATACACGATTATTGGAAGTAGGTCTAAATACGAAAAAGCAGACGAGTATCGGAAGTTCAGGATATAACTGCAGTAACTCAACTAAGCAGAGTAAGTGAATTATACACGGAATACTAGTGCGATAGAAATAAAGAATGGTAGTTCGGCTTGTCAACTGAAATTCTAAAGCAATTGAATAGACCTAAGTGGACTTTTGATAAGAAGAAGAGAACTATATATGGTGTTTATGATATGCCTATAATCTCTATAGTGTAAAGAATTTGTTGTACATATTTTTAACTTGTACCAAATATATATATATATATAATATTTTGAAAACAAGTGGAGTACGTACTGTTCATTCATCGTCGAATTTATCGCTAACATGTCACAGATGCCTACTGTAGAATAATCCTAAGCCCAACAACAACACAGTATAAATTTAATTGACAATTGCAAACTTAACATCTGACAGTTACATTTTATATTTTACTAATTTTAGTTAATTTTTTGTGCAAGGATTAAAATTTGTTTTCCTTACCTAAATATTCAATCTTATTAAGAACAATGGCTACTTTAATAAAAAATAGATAAACTGTTAAAAATATGTCTTATTAATTCGTACCTAAAATATGACTGATAAATGACTTAAGTAAAAGTTTATAATAATTACACTTTCACTTGCATAATTTGATTCTCACCCTAACTGTTGTTTATGGAATTTGATGACGTATATTGTACCTATACTACTATGTTTGTCGTATCCCAGCCGGCCTGGTGAGCCTTAGTACTGGCGAAAGGCTTCGTCAGCATTGGATATGGCAGATGTCGTGTACTTGACATGTTATAACATATTCACTCTTACTTTTCAGTGTTGGGTTCTTCAAATTAGTAATGTAATTTTTTTTCATGTTGACATTATGGTTATATGACCCGTTCCTGAAATGAAAAGACTAGCTTTTTGGTTCGCCAGTTCGTGTAAATGACAGTAAGGTTAATTCAAATAAAAATAGTAATAATAAAAAATAATGAATAAATACAATTCAAAATTAAATAAACAGTTAAAATAAACAACGTTGTGTTATTAGTCCTTACCTTATGATCTGATTGGTGAATGACTTAAATAAAAATTGATAATCATTACATTAATCATTATCATTGATAATCTGATTCACACCCAACAGGTGTTCACATCACAACGCCTAGACTATTCTTGTCGTATCCCAGCCGGCCTGATGATATTTGGTAAGGAGCGAAAGGTCTTGTCGGCATTAGATATGACTGATGTAGTGTGGCTCATATAACACATTTTCGTGTACATTTACTCGAGATTTATTAGAATTAAACTTTTACAGTACTTAAGTTAAACAGAAAAGTCCATCAATTATGTGCCCTGCATTACAAAGGAACATTCTTTTTAAACGATAATGAAGCTGAACACAAAAAGAAATAGCTAAAGTTAACAAACGATACTATACCAACAATAAAGTAGTTAAAAGCACCAATCAAAGCAGAATATAATGCAAGAAGAGCTGTATAGAATAATGGAAGAAAACTCTTGACATTGACAGTCTTGTAATAGATACAGATTTTGACAAGTACTAAAAACTCTACCATCTTTTTCTGATTGTGCTGTATAGGGGACAACATAGTCAGAAAATTCCAAGAACAACTGAAGTATGGTAAATGAAAAACTGTTAATAGCCGATGTGTTATGTGAACATAAGTTAGCATAAATAACTGTTACAAGAACACACGATAATCTAATGAAGCCTAGTTTGTAACTTGTTTAAGTGTCTAGAAGATCATTGAATGGTTGTGTTAATAATTGTTGTTTGTTTCGTAAAAGTATCAAAAGATTGTGTGATTTATTTTTGGGAACAATGCAGACAGCAATTTTTAAGCATAAGAAGAGGTTCACCTTACTGTAATTTGTTACATAGCTTTACACTAAATGGATACATCAAAATTGTAATAATAGTTTCACAGATGTTTGTTTGTTCGTTTAGCACAAAGCTATACAATGGGCTATTTGTACTATGCCCACAACCAGTATCTAAGCCTTCAGACTTACCGCTGAGCCACTGGGGGAGGGGTGTTTCATAGATGATCCCACTTCATTAATTTGGGATTTTAGCCGCATCTTTCTTTCGTTGAACAGTGATGTTTAAACATTTGTTTAACAACAAGTAAAAGCTTGGAGTGGTCTATTCTTTCATTGGA